ATAAAAAAATAAAAAAAATGGGGCCCTGTCAATTATGAAATTAGTAATATTGTATTTTAGAAGATTGGTTTTTGCAGTAAAAAATTAATGTTCCCACTCCCAGATCAAAAATTACACATCCATATTTGCCCTGAACCCCCCTGGATCTGCATGAAATGGTTCATTCCTGCTTGGAGAGCTTGATGCCTAGGGAAAGACCTAGACATAGGGGAATCTGGTGCCAGTATCAAGTGGTGCATAGGCAGATGAATCCTGTGCAACCAGATCTGTGGATCACAGAGGAAGCGAGTCGTAACAGTGTATCTCCGGCAAGAGCTCGTTTATTCTGATTGCAAAAAAACAAATAAACAGATAAATAAAATACAATTACAATACAGTTCAAATTCTATCGACATCCAGAGTTACCACAAAGAAATAAAATAAAACAAAATTCACAAATAAAACAACATAGCAAAAAATAAAGAAAATCTAATCCTAAATTAACATAACCAAACTGAAAAAAAAAACACTACACCTACACAGTAAACACCAACATCTGTCAGTTATAACGGTTCTCCTAAGCATTAACGTCGGGCAGTTATAACCGTTACAGAGGTTATAAAAAAAAGATCAAGCCCACCACAAATAAGTACATCCTCAAGAGAAACAAAAACACCAAAACACTACGAAATACAAACACAACATTGACCTATCACCATATACCCACAGAACATCTCAAATGGCCCATAAAAAGTTGCCGTTTATACTACCTGTTGATCACAGAGGACAGTGTATCTCTGGCAAGAGCTCGTTTATTCTGAGCCGCGCATGCCCAGAGCCAGGAGACTCGTTCTCCCTGTTAGACCCACAGCGGCACGAGAGCGCCCCCACTGGCAAGACACATGCACATGACAAATACGTCTATGAACAATAAAAATAATAATAACAAATAAAAGAAAACAAAAGACAAGACCAATTCTGTTTGAAAAAATAGGGGTGTATTCATCTTTTATTTTTTTTAACTGTTTCTCAACACACTACACTCTCCCCCATTTTAAAAGATGTCTCCAGACATCTAGAATAGAACTAACAAATATAACTATAAAAAGTCAGGTTTGTTGCTTGAAATGTCTGTCATTTGTCAAAGTGTCATTGCTCTAAAATGTCCATATTGGCATACAGTCAGAGGTAGCAGGGTAAGACAGTATGGGGCAAGGAAGACATGCAATCATCAGATTTACTCCAGATTGCAATGGGTGATAGGATGGTTGACCCAGGTGGTCATATGTGAAGACCTCTCTAGGTTTTACAGCTCTGGCTGACCTCCTTACTGGCAGCACTTCCTCCTCTGGTGTGTGCATGCCAGGTTCGGAACTATCCTCTCCATTTTCCACCTCATTCTCCATTGATGGTTTTTCAGTTAGTGGTACCACTGGAGGTACTAATTCAGGACAACCACCAACTGTGTTGAACTTTGCTGTTGCACTTCAGCATTCTGCGTTAAATGTCCTGCAGGCTGGAACTCTGAAGCTACTGCTCTGAGATTACTGCGGACATTTGGCTCAGAAATATGAGGGATTACTTTACTCCTTTCATAAACAGGAATAGTTCTGAGGACATAGTTGTATCCTTCTTCCTCGTCAGAATTTTCATATTCCTGCTCAACTGTCAGACTGTCATGATTCTGGCATTCATTCTGTTTTCGTGTTTGGTTTGAGGATTTAATCTGTTTATCTTGTTCAAAAGGCAATTCATTAACAGGTAGCAGTAGATTCCGATGCAAAACACGGAATGTTTTGTTTCCAGTTTCTGGTTGTACACAGTAGATGGGCCCATCACCGATCCTGTCAACAATTCGATGAATATTTTTCTCCCAAAAAGCACGGAGTTTCCCTGGACCACCTCTCTGAGATAGATTTCTCACAAGAACCCGATCTCCTTGTTGTAATGCAACCCCTTTAACATGTCGATCATAATATTGTTTCCCTTTTGCGGAGGATTTTGCACTGTTATCTGAGGCAATTTTATATGCCTCCTGCATCTGTGAAGCCCATTTTTGTGCATACTCATGTCTAGAATGTTGCTTCTCTTTAGATTTCAAATCAAAAAGCAAATCAATTGGCAAACGGGGATCTCTGCCATACAGAATAAAGAAAGGTGAGTAATCTGTGGACTCGTGTTTAGTACAATTGTATGCATGAACTATGTGGGGCAGGTGGTCTTTCCATTCATATTTTTTTTCCTCATGCAGGGTGCGGAGCATTTGAAGAAGAGTTCGGTTTAGACGCTCAACTGGGTTCCCCTGGATGATATGGAGTTGTTCGAGAATGGGTTATTCCTGCTAGTTGTTGGAGTCGGTGGAACACGTTGTTCTCAAACTCTTTTCCCTGGTCATGATGTAACTTTTCAGGGTAGCCAAAGCGGGGAATAAAGTCATAAAAAATCTTCTCAGCTGCCGTTTTGCCTGATTTGTTCTTAGTTGCATAGGCTTGTGCAAAGCGAGTAAAATGATCAACCAGAACCAGAATGTACTCATAACCACCTCTGCTTGGATCAAGGTGCAAATAATCTATAGAAATGAGCTCAAAAGGGCTGCTGGTTGTTATTGAGCCCATTGGTGCTTTCTGAAGCTTGTTTGGTTGTTTCTGCTTGATACAACTGCACTTCTAGATGAGATACTTCCAGCGGTTTTTAATTCTTCGCAGCGGCGTAGCCGCTTCCGCAGTGGTTGAGCAGCGGACTGCGCATGTTACAGTCTAATTAACTTTTGCATCGTCATTTATTTCCTCAAGGTCAACTACCAGCTCCTCAAATGGATTAACACAGTGTTGCATTCTCTTTAGTTTTCTCTGGTCTGTAATGGAGACTTGAATTTAACGCACCATTTCAACCAAAGGTTTTGAATGTGCTTCCTAACCAGAAGCTCCAAAGCGTTATTGTGTGCCCAAGTCTAGTTTTCCAGAGCTACCATCTGCAACTTTAGATGTGTTCCTTCTCTAACACACCTGGATCATTTACTCATTATAAGGCTCTGCAGAACTGAGTTGCTGCTAATGAGGGAAGTCAACCTATTGTCTGGGGTGTGTTTTAGCAGGGATGCATCTAAAAGTTGCAGTCTAGAGGACTGCACCTGGTCACTCCTGATTTGCACCGTCAATGTGGCCCGTTGAAGGTGGCTAATATGCTGAAGTGGCCCTAGGTGAAATTGAGTTTGAGACCCCGCTCTAGAGGGACTGGGTAACATGAGAGGGTGTCAGCATCAGCATTAGTTTTTCCAGGTCTATACTTTATGGTGAAATGAAAGTCAGCTAACTCCCCAACCCAGCGATGTCCGGTGGCATTTAATCTAGCTGTGCTCAGGACATAAGTAAGGGGATTATTATCAGTGTACACAGTGAAGGTGGGTGCATAGTACAGATAATCCCGAAATTTATCACAGCCCACTTCAAAGCAAGAAATTCTAGCTTGCCGGAATGAAGATGGTAATTTTTCTCAGCAGGTGTGAGTGTCCTGGAGCCATATGCAATAACACAGAGCTTGTTTTCCTGTTGTTGATAAAGTACTGCACCCAGACCTTCATTTGATGCATCAGTGTGGAGGACAGAGGGTAAATTAAAATTTGGGTACAGTAATATGGGTGGACTTGTTAGCATGTCAACAAGCTGGGACACTACATTGCTGTGTGTTGCTGTCCACTTTACTGGGGTTTTGGATGGTAACTGTCCAGTATTCTTAGACTTCGACTGAGTTTTGGAATTAGCTGAATCTGGTTTCTGATTACACTCTCTGGAGTTTTCTATGAGTTTAAACAAGTGGTCTAGCTACCCTGGAAAAGTCCTGAATGAAACTGCGGTAATAGCCTAGGAACCCTAGGAGGGCCCTAACCTCTCCCACACTTTTTGGTTTTCTGTCTTTAAGTTGGTTCACCGCCTCAAGATCTTGTGGATCAATCTGAACACCTTCACCAGTCACTAATCGGCCAACATACCTGACCTGACGTTTAAAAATCTCACATTTTTTTGGTCGCAGTTTGACACCATGTTCTTGCAGGCGGCGAAGCACAAGCCTCAAATCATCAATGTGATCCTGGAAAGTTCTGGAAAAACAAAGCACATCATCCAAATATGGAGAGCAGCACTCATCCCTCAGACCATCAAGGACCCCTTCCACGCACCTTTGGAAAGCAGCTGGGGCATTCGTAAGGCCAAATAGGAGGCGGACCCACTCATACAAGCCCCAAGGTGTGCTGAATGCAGTCATGTGCCTTGAACTCTCATCAACAAAGCCTTGATGGTATGCACTGCCTTGGTCAAGTAGTGAAAACCAAGAGTAACCCCCCAGATTGTCCAACAGATCTTGGATACGTGGAAGTGGGTGGCGGTCAGCAATAGTTTTTTGGTTCAGTTTTCTAAAATCAATACAGTCGTAAACTCTGATCTTTCTTTCTGACAAAGACGACAGGGGATGAATATGGTGAGGTGGATTTCCTAATCCAATCACGGTCAAGAAGATTTTGGACATATTCTTTCACCTAAGGAGGTGAAAGGGGTTTAGGAATTGCATTATAGGACATCTGGACAGGTGTTTCGTCCTTAATGTGAATTTTCAACTGCAAATTTGGAATGCAGTCAATGTCAGAGTCATGCCTAGCAAAGACTTCCGACTCCTCATACAACATATTCCTGACTAATTTCTGTTCATTCTCCCCCAAGTGAGACAAATCAACAGGAGGATGCCACTTCAAACATGTCTCATCTTGTGTCTCACTGCTTTCTGGTATTAACTGTGCTGTGCATGAGTTTACAGGAAGATGAGGGGTTGTCCATGAATCATTTTGGTTGTACTGAACTCGATTCACCTCTGTGACCTCCTCTAAGTTTCCTATAACTGTTCTCTTACCAAGGTGGAGTATTGAATGGGTATTTTAACAACAGCTGTTAACCCACTGGAAACCTCAACAAGAGCTGGAAAAAGTTCTAGACCTTCAGGGCAGTTATTCAGGTTACGCCGAAGGTTGCCTTGTCCTGAAAGTCTACTCATTTCTAGATTTCTACTTCGTCCTTGAACGTCCAGAAAATAAAGAAAAATGCGTGAGTGTATTTCCTTCCATATTGGTCAGGCTGGAGTCCAGATTGGCAATGCCTGCTGGGAGCTGTATTGCCTGGAACATGGCATCCAGCCGGACGGTCTGATGCCGAATGACAAGACCGCAGGAAGAGGAGATAACTCCTTCAACACCTTCTTCAGTGAGACCGGTTCTGGAAAGCATGTTCCCCGGGCTGTGTATGTGGACCTGGAGCCCACTGTCATTGATGAGGTGCGCACTGGGACCTACCACCAGCTATTCCACCCTGAGCAGCTGATCAGTGGTAAAGAGGACGCTGCCAGCAATTACGCTCGTGGGCACTACACCATTGGAAAGGAGATCATTGATCCCGTTTTGGATAGGATTCACAAACTGGCTGACCAGTGTAATGGTCTTCAGGGTTTCCTGGTTTTCCACAGCTTCAGTGGAGGCACTGGCTCTGGTTTCACCTCCCTGCTGATGGAGCGCCTGTCTGTCGACTACGGCAAGAAATCCAAGGTGGGTAGACTGTGTGAGATTATCAACCATTTAGCATAGTTAGCATAGCTACAGACTACTGTTTGCCTCCATTTCATTAGCATTTAATGAATTAAGGAAAAAAATTACCAACATATTCATATATTGAACTTGTCCCTTGTACCGTCCTCTCCTGAGTGAAATTAAAGCTGCAGTATGTAACTTTTATACAAATATTTTTTTCCACATATTTATTAAAACTGTCATTATGTTGTGACAGTATGATCTGTGAAAAATCTATTTCCTCTGCTTTCTCCCAGTGCTCTCTAGAAACAACCAATCAGTGGCAGGAGAGTTTTAGTGCTGTCAATCACAATCTCATTTGGCTCATCCTTCCTCTGCCTCACTCTGTGCTATGCTGCAGCTACCATAGCCTGTTGTGAATGCTCAGTCTAATTAGCATAGCTACCAAGTGATGGCAGATAAATGATTTTCCTGTAATGATAAGTTGTTTCTCCACCATTAGCACATTTAGCAGTGAGTGAATGAGGTTGATTGACAGTGCTAAGAGTGTCCTACTGGTTCTGATTGGTTGTTTTGGTCAGAACGATGCAGTACCTTAGCTAGCAATAGTAGTTCAGGAAGGAGATTGACTGTTTTCATAGATTATCTGTCTCATAATCCACTGTCACAATATGTTGACAGCTTTAACAAATATGGAGAAAACATACTGCAGCTTGAATACAATGCAACTACAGAGCATTTTTTGAGAAGTCTGGATTGTTTCATGTATATTTTGCATGTTGCCTATGACTGTTGCTCGTGGGGAGAGACATTTCAGTATCTAAAACTAATAGACAAAATGTCAGCAACCTACTTGCATATTGTATGCATACTGAATTTTACTCTTGCATGCAAAATTCATGAGCAGTAAATATTGTACTTGTTATCAGTATTGGAGTAAAGAAAGCAAGGCAGTTGCAAGCTGTTGTGACGCTTTTGATGGGTCAGATAGACTCAAGAAATTGTAACAGCTGCGTGGGGGGAAGGGGCCCAATGAAATTTTTTTTCAGGGACCCAAGATTCCTGGCAGCGCCCCTGTTTGTGAATATTAAATGATTATGAAAACACATGAAACTATAGCACCCAAAAAAACCAATAAAAATAAAAAAAATACATTAAATGAATTAGGTTTGTTTAGATTTGATCAGTTTTATTTGTCACATGCACAGTTACACACAGTAATTGTGCATGTGACAGTAAAATGTGTTGTAGTACCTGCAGTCAAAGAGAAAGGAGAAAAAAAAGAAAAACACACAAAAAACAGGTGTTTCCCACAGCACATAAATAATCATAAAAAGATTAGAACTGAAAAAGAGAACTTAATGCAAGGCTCAGAATTGAGCAAACAAATGCCGACATAAACCGTTTCAGTTCTTTCTATAATCCGGCTGGAGTCCAAAGACGCGGAGTCCTGACTCTGATTGGTTGTTTCTGACCGGGAGCGATGCATTTCTCCAGGTGGCTGCAGGAGCACTGTGAGGAGGAAGAGCTCAATTCTTCACAGATTTTCAGTCTCATACTATATTATACTGCAGCTTTAAGGGTAAATTCTCCTTCACATCAAATTTTCATTTTTTAATTTGATCCTTCTTTTACATTGTTATATTGTTCTATGAGGAAACTGTCTCATTACCTATCAGAAACAATTTTTGTTGAATGAGGATAATTTTACATCAAAATCTTGAAGAATAAGCATTGGTGAACTGTATGAAAAAAATCCATAATAAACTATTTGATCAATCTGTTTCTTTCCTTATTTAATAAACATCTGGACAGAGTTCTAGTTTTTTTCACTTTGGGGAATCATCAGTTTTGTCGATGTATGTCTGCACACTCTGTCTTTTTAGAACACAAATAACTGTCCAGATATGAAAATGGATATGTAGTGTGAACAGATGAAGCAGTCACTTGCATAATGTGATCATAATCTTTATTTACTGTGGTGTAGTTGGCTCTTATGCTGCAGTGACTCAAGTCTCACCTCTTTTACAGAGGAGTCGACCAAAAGATGTCAGTGTTACACAAGCCATGCTACACGTCACCCGTTTCTGCTTCCTCTGGTGATTGAGCGTTTGACTCCATCACAAGCTGAGTTTAGCATCACAGCTACTACTTCAGATGTCCACCTTCATTCCGTGCTGTTGCGGCTAAAGGAGCAAAATATGTTATAGATGTAGGGGGAAAGACAGATTTGTGCAATTGACTAAAGGAACTGGGAGATTCTCAGTTACAGTGACAAGCAAAAAAGTGTCAAACCACCAAGTTTTACCTTGTCTTTCAAGAAGACAAAGTATTTGAATCTTCCTGAGTGGTCTTGATCAATATCAATCAATCCCTAGCCTTTTTAAGGTTTCATGAGTTTTTCGTTGGGCTTTGACTGCTTTTTATTAATTTTAATTTTTTGTGGAATGCTTTTGCTTGGCTATTTTTTGGTATTATGCCACTTAATTCTTATGCATGAACCCCTTGGGTAAAGTAAGTAAAATCTATTGTCATTTCATGTGTATCAAAACTATACTGTAGCAAACCGTCTGTTTCTTTTTGCAGGAGACCAAATAATACCTGTCATATCTTCTGACACTCAAGCAGCAGGGATTTGTGCCAAAGAAATACGCGCTCCACCATCACCTATTGCCTGGCCGCCACCCCACATTCAGTCTCCACGGTAACCAGCCATTGCAGCAGCCCACAGGTGGTGCTATTCTCTAGTATTTCAATACTCCATCAGCATCTAACACAGACGATCACCACAACATGATAACAGAGTTCCTCAGCAGGCCCACTGCTTCATCACCTTGACAGAAGCAGTGAGCTGCTGAGCTAGTCAAAAAATATCATAGTGAGTGTTTTTGGTAGGACCCAAATGCAGACGAAATTCCAGGCTAGCAGATAAAGTTCAATTTCTTTTAAAAATAAATAAATAAAAGGGAAACTTACATGAGGCTCAAGGAGGGAATTAGCAGAAAAACAACTGGAGAACACAACAGGAAAAAAATGGGGAGGAATAACAGAAGGATTCAGTGATGAGCAAGGAAAACTGAATAGCTTAAGTACTGAGGAAGAGATGGAAGTGACAAAGGACCCATCCATCCATCCATCCATCCATCCATCCATCCATCCATTTTCTTCCGCTTATCTTGGGTCGGGTCGTGGGGTTAGCAGCTTAAGAAGGGAGGCCCATATTCCCTCTCCCCAACCACTTGTTCCAGCTCTTCAGGGGGAATCCCAAGGCTTTCCCAGGCCAGCCAAGAAACATAGTCCCTCCAGTATGTCCTGGGTCTTCCCAAGGATCTCCTCCCAACCACACCCCTCCAGGTCTCACTGTCATTGCCCACGTGAGCGTTGAAGTCCCCCAGTAGAACAAGGGAGTCCCCTGGAGGAGCGCCCTCCAGTACCCCCTCTAAGGACTCCAAGAAGGGTGGGTAATCTGAACTGCTGTTCAGCCCGTAAGCAAAGACAACAGTCAGAACCCGTCCCCCCACCCGTAGGCGGAGGGAGGCTACCCTCTCGTTCACCGGGGTAAACCCCAACGTACAGGCCTAATCAGCCAAATCATCAACAAGACTGGCTACGGATACCGACTCAAGAATGGGGCCACAATCAGTCA